TATTTTTTTATCCTCACCCGAGGACATTTTTCCATTTTTTGTACAGATAGAGTGGGAGGGAGAGACAGGAAGAGAGAGAGAGAGAGAGAAACATCGACGTGAAAGGGACACATCGAGTGGTCGCCACCCACACGACCAACCAGGGCCGGGGACAAACTGCAACCGAGGTACATGCCCTTAGCGGGAACCGAACCCGGGTCTCTCTAGACCGCAGGCCGATGCTCTAACCGCTGAGCCAAACCGGCCAGGGCAAATGTTTTAAATTTATTAAAATATTGAGTTGGTTTAAGTGTCATTAATTTCAGATTTATGTACTGAACCACCTGTAAAAGTGAGAATCAAATCCATCTTTGTTCTTGTTTTCAGGCCATAGGCCTTTGATTGGAATCAGATCCTTTTCGTGAGCTCGGCACCGGTTTCGGGTGGCACGAGAACTCCACTGCCCTCCTGGCCTGCAGGCCGTGGGCCGGCAAGGGCGACCTCAGTCACTGCCCACGGTTCTCTCCTGCACGCTCTCTGTTGCCTAGAGCGGCGGTGGTGCAGCTATGCGGGAGGGAGGTTCCTGGAGAGCTACAGTGGGAAAGATGATCCTCCAAGTGTGTGATGATCCTAGGAATTCTCCCACCCTTGGTGCTGCGGCTGGTTAGGTTTTTAAGAGGTTTTAAGAGAAAAAGTCCAAGTCATCGCTCTCTCCCTCTTTACCACGTGATCTCGCTGTGGCGCTGTCACTCTGCTATCACAGCCAGTTGCCATGGGAATCATGCCAATGTAACAAATGTATCATTATGACTTTTCTGCAGAATTCATGAAAGAGAAAAGCAAGACTGTGAGGGGGGAAATTAGGGGAACAAAGTTGTTTGAAGATTTCTTTTCTCACAGAGAAATTCTCCAGTTCCTGCTTTGGCCTTTTATCTGCATTGCAGATCCCAGTTGTATTTTCTGCCTGACGTCAGGGACTTTGTGTTTGTGGACTAGTGCTAAACATGAATAAAAAGATTTGCTCTGTGGAAGGAAGAGGAAGGCATTACCTAGAACTGTTGCTTATCATTTAAAGAATTTTACCTTGTTCTTAACATTTGTAGTTTTATGGACTAATTCCCCTAAGCAATAAATTTGCATGTAAGGTGTTTTTTTTTTTTTTTGGTGATACTGTATCTTATCTTTTGTTTTGCTACATTCTACAACTATTACACCTTTTGACTCCTCTCTGGTTTAGTAAAGAAATTGTGTCAGGGAAACTCTTCTAAAGCCGGTTGTGTTTTATTGGGAAATTTTTACAGCAAGATACAGTAGGCCGTACTGTGAGTGCTGACCTGGGTGAAGAGGTTGTGTCAGGCAGACCCTGTTATCACTCCCAAATTCCCTGTGCTTCGGTCTCAGTTTGCACGTCACTCTTCCTTGTCCTCTGCCCACAGTCAGACCCGTCTTTGTGCCTGGCGCCCTCTGGTTACCTCCCGTGTCCCGCGAATATTGTAGCATACTGTGCCTCCCACGTCTTCATCAGGGTCACATTTGATCTCTGTTCCCGGCATGTAAAGGCGGCTGTTCTGTATGTTAACATTGTAACAGCCATAGTCTGGGACTGGGCAGAGCAGGTAGTGGGCCCAGGAAATTGGGGCTTCTATTGCAGGGGCCAGAATGAGCCTCCCATTGGTTATTCTGTTTTTACCCTCCCCTCACTGTTGTGGTAGGCATGTGTCCTCTCTACCAGAGGTCAGATTTATTTTACTGTTTGTTTTCTTCCAACTGTAGTTTGAAATCTCTGCCAGCTAATCTGAAGCAGACACATGGAGCAAATACAAAATAAAATGCACATAGTTGGGAATGTCTTCACTGGATTGTTGACCTCCTTCAGCGAAAACAGAAATATATCAGCTGCCAGCACAGTTTTGAGTGATTTGTGGATTATGATTTTCAAAACTTGGTAGGATAGGATATATTTGTGGAGCAGGAGAGAGGGTGAACTTTGTCCTTTGGGTCTCAGCTGGCTGCAGAAACCACACCTAGCTCTTCCTGGGTTTTTTTTTTGGCAAATACTCTGCAATTATCACATTACAGCCTGCCCTGATCATTAATTATCTGGACCACAAAGTCAGTGTACATGTGTCCATCTCTTCAGACAGCAGTTGCTGCACCTCACCGCTCTGCTGCTGACCGGCACGAGGCTCGGACACGGGGACTGTGCCCCGAACCCTTGTCAGTAGGCCGTTCATTGAGATGTTATTTGGGTTTAAGTACATGGCATATAATTTTCCTTGAGACTTTATATTTAAAATTGGTTTTTCTTATATTCTTTTATATAAAGTCATTATCATTACTTTCCTGTTAAAGGTGTATGTGTGTGTCTCACCTGTTTGGAAACATAAAATTACTGATTTTATAGCCAAAGTTTGAATGTTCTGGCTTGTATTCATGCCATTAAAATTGAAAGTCAGTATTAAAATTATCCACAAATGTATTTGGAGGGCTTTTGATTTCATTGCTAGTAAGACAAAGGGATGAAGTGGCAGTGTATTTATTGGATTTTAGATTGCACGTTCATTTCAGATTCACACGCCAAGGCACTGTGCACCCGGTCCGCCTGCAGCACTTTTAATTTCAAGTCAGGTGCCCTAGAGGACCAGCGCAGACAGACTTCCTGAGGCTTCTTCCGGAGCCATTTTAAATAGAATTTGGGAAGTAAGCATTTAAGGGATAATGGTGGAAAGAGTGATTGTGTAGAGGTCTTGAAAATCTTTCATAATTCATTTTTACTTTAATTGGCAACTAAATTTGCATTATAAGTACATGAAATCATTCTCTTGAACATTTTCAACAGTTTTACAGATTAAAAAATACACACATTATATTCTATTTCTGTTCGAGGACCGCATTCTTAAAGTTTAAAATCCATTTTATGTCTTACTTTTGAATGTTCAGAGTAACTAACTTTTAATTTGTATTATTTTCCAATTTGTTAAGGGTGAAAATTTTTATCAACTTGATGAATTTGAGTTTAACTCATTTGTCATTCTGGTTAACCTGAAAAAATGCTTTCATCTGAAAATAAAATCTTTATCTTAGATGATCTCATTTTGAGCCTGTATTATGAGAGGTGGCATAAATACTTTATATGAATAATGGATTGATCTATAAGTTAATTAGACCCAAGAGAACCTACTGTCAAAACAAAAATGCTTTGTGAGTCTTTTCTTTACATCAGCTTATTCTGAACCTGTTATTACGGTCCTGAAGAGCTGAACGATGTATTAGTTTCTGGAAAGGAGGACGGATAAATTTCTGCCTCAGTGAGTGAACACTGTAATTACAGTTAGCACGCGGCGAGCACAGTGCTGAGTGGGCAGCACGAGGTGAAGTTCCGTGTGTGGATAGCACGTGGTAGAGAAAACTGCATTGTGATTATGAAGAACGGGGTGTTTTTGTTCATTCTCCATTAGAAGGATGATTAGAATCATTTGCAAATTATGTAAGTCTACTTCTGGGTTTGCTTCCTTTCAAAAAGGAAACGCTGGGGCTTTTTATGTGGAGGATAGATCTCAAAATACCTTATCTTTGGGTATTGGACTTTTTGAAGCCCCTTTTCAACGTTTTACAGATTCTAAGTGTGGAGCCTCTTACCCATTCTTTTCAATGCTCTTGGGGTATAATTTAACTGTACATTAACTAAATGCACCCCTCCTCATTGATTTCCAGTTTCTCTGCTGTACCTTCCCCCAAGGCTCATTGTGATGAGAGTTTGCAATCTGATTTTCATCAGGATTAATCTTCATGTAGTGTCTGGACTAGAATGAGGATCTGAGACCATGGGTGACTTTATTTTCTTCTTTCAACATTTCTATACTTGCTACAATGAGCATGGGTAACTTGCAATGGAGAGAAATGTTCAATTTGAAATTCTTAAAACCAGCAAAAACATTTTTAATGAAATGTCATACGAAGTCTTTAATTTCCTTCTTTTGTGACATATTCTAATGATGAGATGAGAGTTGTAAACGAAGTGGTAATCCTTGGCGTCCCTCCTTATTATCCTGTTTATTTGGCTTGAAGAGTTTCACTTGTCAGTCTTTAGAGGATATGTTAATTGACTGATCAGTATTCATTACAAATGATCTTGTCTGTTTTCTTGTCGAGATTCTGAAGGCCCTTTTGCTCTCTCTGTAAAAGCTAAGCAGACTGTATTAACTTCTGGCTTAATTTTAAAAAAACGAATGTGGAACTTGTTGGCGCAACACCTTAAAGAATTGCATGTTTAATAATTGGAAGGCTTTCCATCAGATTTGTCTGCAGTCTGAATTAATAATGTTGCTGACTTATTGTTTTAGAAGACAGAGTCCTTGACCTGCTAGGTGGAAAGAATTGTGACTGCTCTGAACCTTTGTGGGTCCTTTAGCTGTGCCATATCCCCTGTGAATAATTAGAGGTATTTGAAGGTATTGCAGTAGAAGCCAATTTGTGTCTTTCACTTTGCATATTGTTGAAGCCTCATGAATTAATCATAAGCAGGCAAAAAATTAACTTCTTCAGACACATATTTTGATGGGTCATGAGGGAGAATGTAAAGTGATCTGTAAAATATTCTACTGATCCTCTGAGTATTAAATTATTATACCTACAGGCTAATTTTGGAGGAAAAAAGAGTTTTTCCTCCTTCAGTAATTGAGTAGCAAATTTCAAAAAAAAAATAAAAGGTTTGTTATTTTCTAGGACTGTGAAGAGGGCTATAAATCAGCAAATTTATGATTTCCTGAAAACCAGATTCTTGTGTTAATTATTGTTTTAAAATTTTTGGTTTATTTTTCTTTTTACTTTTAAATTATTTGAATTCTAGATTCTTATAACTCCCTTGTTGATTTAGTGAACTGTGACACCAAACGAATAACTCATCTTTCTTACTTTAGGCATCTAAATCACTAAATCAAAGTAATGTGGGTTTCCATACTTGTTTAAAATCCAATTTTACATTAAAATTATTTTCCATGTTCTCTTTTCCTTTTTTTCAGCCAATGAAACTGAAATTGCATTCTTCTGTGAAGAAGATTATACGAAATACAAAGCTAATCCCATTTCATCCTGGTGAAAACCTCGGGGGCTTCCTTGTTTGCATACCTATATTAAGCTTTTTATTCTATTAGTGGGTTTTGATTGACAAATAAACTTTAAAAATTAATCCCAGGTTCTGCTATTTGAGTTAAATCTGGTTTTTCTCTCTGCAAGTCTCTTTTTTCTTTCTCGTTGTAAAATAATATATTTGTGAGAAAAAGTGTTGTTAATGAATTAATTTATTCATTTATCTGGAAAAGCCATTCAGAATGGCTTGGGTGGGCCCACGCGTGGGGTAGAGTGGGGTCTCGGGGGGGGGGCAGCCATGTATGCCAAGGGGTGGGGCCCGGTGGCGCCCGCCAGCCTGCCAGCTCTGCGGGAGGAGGGCCCAGTAAGGAACAATGGCCTCTGCCAGCCCTTCTGTCTGGGAGGAGGCTGCCCCTCCAGCCCTTACTAGACGATTCCTTTCCCCTGTATGTCCCTGGAGCCTTTCCAGCGGCTGCCCCTGCACTGGAGCTCAGAGCCAGAGTCTGAGTAAGTGTGCGCCTGGGCTCTTTAAGAGAGCACCTGGGACTCCAGGCCTCCATCCCACTCAGCTGCAGTTTCTGCTTCGTGGCACTGCAACCCTGGGCCGGAGAGCCTGCAATGAGACCGAGACTCCTTGCTCCTCAGGGGCGACCTCCACACCCAAAATATCCCTTCCGTTTTTTAAAAAATATGTTGTGAGTAATTTTTTTGGAGAGAGAGGAAGGAAGAGATAGAAACATCGATGTGAGAAATATTCATCCGCTCCTGCCTGCAAGCCCCCTACTGGGGATGGAGCCTGCAACCTGGGCATGTGCCCTGACAGAGAATTGAACTGGGACCTCTCAGTCCCTGGGACGATGCTCAATTCACTGAGCCACACCGGCCGGGCGTCCCTCCCAATTTTTAACCACCACACGTGGGTGTGGGACAAGCCCATTTCCACCCCTTCTACCCATGTCCACGTGGCTTCTGTATATCCTTAGTTATGAGACTTACGTTTATCTAGACTTCAGGCACTTCTCAATGATGTTTGTTCTGTACTTTAGTTGTAATTCTGATGTGGTCATGGGAGGAAGCAAGTAGCCTGTTTACCTAGCCGGAAGTTCCAGCCCAGAATTTCCAAGTTTGATTTTTTTGAAGTGAAGAAATAGTTTTTCAGAAATACTGGTTCTTTAGTCATAATTTGTTTTTCTGAAATTAGGGGTTATTTTGGTGACTTGCATGTTGAGTTCTTTAAAAAGATTGTGAGACTAGGGTGATTTTATATTTTTTCCATAGTTTTTAATTAGAGTCACTGTTGCTATATTGGCAAGCAGAGTTGTAAGAGCCTCTTATGACTCTCAATGCCATCTTTTCACTCATGATGATACACACATGGAATTGAATCATGTACATTTCAGGGGGATTTTCTGATGTAAGAGGATTTCTTCTTTTGGTATTTCAGCCTGCACAAATAACATTGCTGAAATGTTTTTATTAATCCTCACAAGAGGATATTTTTCCATTGATATTTATTAATAGAGTAGAAGGGAGGGAGGGATAGAGAAAGAAAGAGAAAAATCGATGTGAGAGAGACACATCAATCGGTTGCTTTCCACATGACCCCAACCAGGGCTGGGGATTGAACCTGCAACCCCGATATGTGCTTTTGACCGGGAATTGAACCCATGACCCTTTAGTCTGAGGGCTGATGCTCTAACTGCTGAGCCAAACCAGCTAGGGCTGAAATGTTTCTTATGTGAGCTCTGTTTCTCAGCTTAAGAAGCAAACTCTAATAGAACCAAGCTCATTTATTTGGTGAAAGAAAATAACAGGATGTTTGCACTTCACTAACAACAAGGCTATGTCATGGAAGACACATTCTTTCAAAATAATACTTTCAGTTCCTACTAATAGCTGACTACCAGCACCTGAGGATGAGGAGTTTAAAGGGGCCTCTCAGCCAGCATGGATCTCATCAGAACTCTGAGAAAGGTTGGTTGGCTCTAGAATTACTGCGTGAACTCTTAAAATTGCCATTAGGGCAAATTGGTTTCATGGTGGTAGAGGCTAACTTGAGAAAACCGATTCCTTTTAAAAACTCAGCTTTGAAAATCTGGTTAACATAATCAGAAGATGCTTTCTTTGTTGAAAGATTTAATAGAGCCTATAAAAACACTGTATCTGTTTCATTCATGAAAAAAACTACTAAATGCACACAGGACCCAGAATTCTAGGGGGACTAATGAATAAAATAAGATACAGTGTTGCCTCAATAAGGGGGAAAGATATAAAGCAAGTAATGTTAATATAGTGAAAACTGCTATGGAACCATTGATGATGAGGTAATTAATTCTGTGTGGGATTAATTTTTATTTTAAAAGAAGTACCAGTTGAGCTTTGTCTTAAAAGATTGAATAGGACTTCCGGTCAGTATGGCAGCATAGGTAAACGCGGTATCGCATCCTCCCACAACCACATCAAAATTACAACTAAACTGCAGAACAACCATTATTCAAAACCGCCTGAAATCGAGCTGAATGGAAGTACTACAGCTACGGAATTAAAGCAGCAGCCACACTGAGACTGAAGAAGAGTCATATAGGGAGAACACCGTGTCACTAGAGGCAGAGATTCGAAGTAATGCAGCTACAAGCTAAGGAGCACAAAAAATCAACAGCCACCATCAGAAGTTGGAAGAGCCAAATCGAGAGTCCAGTCCAGTTCCAGTTGGAGTCTAAGACGGATATGGGTCCTGATGACACCTTGATTTCAGGCTTCCAGACTCTAAAACTGTGAGACAATAAATTTCTGTTGTTTTAAGCCAAAAAAAAAAGACTGAATAGGAACTTCTGCTTAGTGGAGAATAAGGGAAGGCCGTCAGGAGGAAGGAAAGCGTGTGTAAGGCAGAGCACTGTGAAAGAGCTTCAGTGCTCAGTAGAAAGTACAAATTCCAGGTACTGGAGTAACAGCACTTGGAATTAGGAGGAAGATAAACCCAGAAGGTGAGGTGAGTCTTATAAGTCATGCTAAGGGATTGGAACTTTTATCTCGTTGGTAGTCAGGAGCCAGTGGAAAGATTTAAACAGGTAAATTACAAGTTAGATCGGTCATTTAGAAAGTGGGCTTTCCAGCATTGTCCAGATGGCAGGAAGACCGGAAGACATTTCTCAGAGCTCAGGTGAAGACTGGAAGGCCTGGCCTAGGACACGCCAGAGAACAGGAGACCTTGAGAAAGTGTTAACCTTTGGTCATGCATTAGATGGTAGCATTGTGTTAGGTACTTTACATATATCATCTCATTTAAATTTTACAACTCTTCAGCCTCGACAGTTTCATACCTATTTATAGAAGAGGAAATCGGAGCCCAGAGAGTAAAGTAATTTACTCAAGGCCATGCAGTAGTGTGCCTTGGGATTGGAGGCAGGTCTGTCTTAACAGTCTCGGCCTGGCCTCCCAGTGCCGGTAGGAGGTCCAGTTGTTATGGGAGGAGGACCAGGACCAGGGCGGGTCTGCCCCTGCATAGTCTGGAGACAGGATTCTTCTGTGGTGTCACAGGAAAAGGATTTTAGGGACACACGTAGGAGGATTTTAAGGGATAGTGGCAAGATTTACTGAACTGAAAAAAGAGAGTACCCCCTCGGGGAGGTGGAGACTGAGCAGGCTGCAGCAGCGGCTGCCCCAAGGTCCTTGCTAAGCTCCGAGTATTTTCTGGGGTGTGGAAAAGAGCAGTCTTGCTTTCACACTGTTCAGTCTCTTTCCTGCTTTTCCTGGGCTGTGCCTGTGCCCTCCCTTCATCCAATCCCTTTCCTGGGTCTTCTGGGGTTTCCTGTCCTTATCCAGTTTGATCTTTCCCCCTAAATGGTCCTCGGCTTGCCACCAGTTATGACCATTTGGCTCCTAGTGCGCATGCCTCAGAGTTCTGCTTCATCATCTGCTGCACTTGTGCTCAGTGAAGACTTTCCCGTCACTTCTCCTCCGTCCACCCCCACACACCTCCTTAATCTGGCAGAACAATGCTGGTTGCTCCCTGGGGTGACCGAAAAGCATCTTTCCTGCCTACTCAGATGCCCAGCGCGGCTGTGAAACTGTCCCTTCCTAGTGAATCCGGCTTAATCAGATGTCTGGTTTCTTTGCTCTCTTCCTTTAAAAAAATTTTTTTTCTTTGTTGATTTTTAGAGAGAGAAGAAGGGAGAGAGAGATAGAAACATCGATGAAAGAGGAACATTGGCCACCTCCTGCATGCCCCCCACTGGGGATCGTGCCCACAACCTGGGCATGTGCCCTGACTGGGAATCGAACAGGCGACCTCTTGGTGCATGGTCGATGCTCAACCACTGAGCCACCCCAGCCAGGCTGCTCCCTTCCTTTTTGTTACTATCTAGCTAACTGCCTACTGTAACAGATGACCAGTAGACTCTTTGGGACTTGGTGAGTGACTGGGGTGGACGGTGGAAGGAGAAGAAGGTGTGGAGACTTGAGTGATTCTTGCTTAAGTGACTGGATCGGTGGTGGCAGCGTTGGCCCAGAGAGTGAGTTTAGTAAGCAGAACAACAGGTTAGAGCATATTCCATTTGTTCATTTTTTAAAAAATTTTTATTCTTTTTTTATTTGATCATTTTATAAACATACAATTTACATACAAGTTTTTAAAGAAAAATTAAATATAGCTTTACCTGTATATTTTCTTTTTAACGAACAATGCAAAAATATGTACATATAGTTCTTTATTTTGGTGTATATTTATTTACCTTATTAGAATATTACATATGGACTTTTTTCACTTATAAACACGATGTAAGAATAAAAAATAGAAATATATTATGACTTTAAAGGGCTTTTACCAGGAATGGATAATTGGTTCAAAACTATAGAAAACTTATTGATGTAATTCACAAAATCTATAGATTAAAGAAGAAAGAAATTATTCTCTCAGTAGATGCACTTGATTATGTGCAACCCCATGAATGAGTATAAACTTAGAACAGAATGCCCTTCATTTGATGAATGTTACCTGCAGAAAGCTACTTCATGAAGAAGTGTTTGAGCAAACCTATTAGATATGACTGGAGCAAG